CCGCCCCACCGCGTCCCGCCCCGCCCGACCTCCTCCTCCTCCTCAGGACCGCGCCCTCCGCGTGCGTTTCCGGCTCCTCGGCCGCTCGGGGGCGCTCGAGCCCCGCCCACCTCGGTCTGCGCGTGCGTCTTACAGAAACCCCAGCCTGAGGGGCCGAACCGCGAGGTCGCTTCTCGGTTCAAACCGGCCCCGTCCAATCGAGTGCGGAGCGCTCGATCCACAGTTGCTAGGCGACCGGTTGCCGCTGGGATCTCTTTCCGGGCGTTCTTGAGTCCTGCAGACTCCGGGTTTCCGTCTTCCCGGCACGCCCCCATAGGAGAGCCACGTGGTCCCAAATATTAGAAATGAAGATTTGAAACCGAGGGGGGAGGGAGGCGTGGGGGAGGGGGGAGGGAAGGGGTAGGAGGGGGAAAACAAAGGAGGGGGTAACAGTGCTCCATAGGCAAGGTACTCATTACCTTACTCTTGTAACTGTAACCCTCTGTACAGCATTTTTACAAGAAAAAACATTTTAAAAAAGAGACTTGAGGGCTGGGAAGGTGGCTCCGTGGTAGAGTGCTTGCCTGCATGCCTGAGGCCCTGGGTTCGATTCCCCAGCACCACATAAGCAAAAAGAAAAAAGCCGGAAGCGGCGCTGTGGCTCAAGTGGTAGAGCGCTAGCCTTGAGCTGAAGAGCTGAGGGACAGCGCCCAGGCCCAGAGTTCAGACCCCACGACCAGACCCATTAAAATAAAAAAAAAAAGGGACTTGAAACAGAATTGGCCATGTGGCCCAAAAGGAATGGGGATTGTATGATTTCTGAGTTTTCTTCTTTTGGGGGGGGGAGGGGTGTGTTTGCTAGTTCTGGGGCTTGACATAAAGGCCTGAGTGCTGACCCTTAACTTCCACTCCACTTGAGGCACACTTCCACTTCCGGTATTTTGCTACTTGTGAGTCTCACTGACTATACTCTTCCAGCTGGCTTCGAACCATGATCTTCAGATCTCAGCCTCCTGATTATCTAAAATTAAAGGCTTGAGCCACCAGCCCCAGGCCTATATGCTGATATTTTTCACCTGTGTTGCACAGGAAAAGGGTGCCCAATTTTCCTGTTTTGCGTCCGACGTGACGTGTATGAAGGGAATTTGTATCGAGTGCCTTCCCCCTCTTGCTTTGCGCCCTACTGTATGCCAGGCACTGTGCTGAAAACAGAAGAGCTACTAAGAAGGTTTTCAGGGAAATGGTGCCAAGCCGCACAGGGAGCAACTCTGACAATACAGTACACCACCCTGCCTGGCAGCTCCTGGCACCTGCACAACAGCAACCCCGGAGTTCCTTCTGTCCTAGAGATGTTTATTGAAGTGCTAACTTCCAACACAAAAATATGAGGCAAGACACAGGTCCTGATTTCAACAGCATGCAGATGAGCAGGGCCGGTGACTTGTGAAATTCAGTCTGCTGTGAATGGGCACAGAGGGGTGCACAACCCCGGAGTGGTACCAGCTCCCTGACTTCTCATAAAAAGAATGTTCATTTGGGATGAGGAATGTTCACTTATGGGACATCCATAGGTCACATTGTTTTGCTTTTGTGTTTTCACAAAAATCTGAAAGCCAAGCTATCATATCACATGTGAGAGACAGAATCTCCTGAATTTGCAGCTTCTACCCGGGGGCCTACCCAGGGGCTTTCACTCTGATGCAGGTTTTTGAACAGAGTGAAGTGCAGAGGTGGATGTAAAATCAGATCAAATAAATGTAAGAACTAAAACCACTGTAATATAGTGATGAGCTTTTTTTTTAATGACAAACTTCAAAATGACTTCTTCAAAAAAGAACTCTTAGACTTGAAAAGACACTTGGACAAAATGAGGAGTCAAGCCAAAGACTGAGAGAAAATATTTCTAGAACAAGGACCTGATGAAGGATTTGTACTTGAATAAAGAACCTTTTTAAATCAACATTAAGAAAAAAAACAGTATTTTAAATTGTGCTAAATATATGGGCAATCATTTCACTAAAGAAGATATATGAGGGCTGGGATGTAGCTCAGTGGCAAAGCGCTTGCCTAGCAAGTACAACATCCTGGGTTCGATCCCCAGTACCAAAAAAGAAAAGACAAAAAAAAAAAAAAGATATATGAGACCAGGCACCAGTGGCTTACGCCTGTAATCCTAGCTACTCAGGAGGCTGAGATCTGAGGATCACAGTTCAAAGCCAGCCCAGGCAGGAAAGTCTGTGAGACACTTTATCTCCAATAAACCACTAGAAAACCAGAAGTGGCGCTGTGGCTCAAGCGGTAGAGCACTGGCCTTGAGCTGAAGAGCACAGGGACAGCACCCAATCCCAGTTCAAGCCCCGTGACCGTCAAAAAAAAAAAAATTATATGGCAGGGTGCTGATGGCTTACACCTGTAATCCTAACTACTCAGGAGGCTAAAATCTGAGGATTGTGGTAAGAAGCCAGCCCATGGCAGGAAAGCATGTAAGAAAGACTCTTCAGTTAACAGCAAAAAGTCAGAAGTGGAGGTATTGCTCAAGTGGTAGAGCATTATCTTTTAAGAGTTTGGGGCCCTGAGTCCAAGCCCTGTCACTGTTCAAAAAAAGATATAACCAATGGTAGGCAATAGAGATAACTGTAAGGAAGACATCAAATGGCAAAGACTGAGACAGAGAGCAAAATGTCTTTTACATAGCACCACCCAGCAGTAAAAACAAGGATGGGTCAACTTGGACCTAACATGAGATCAAAATATGAGCCCAAAATATCAATTGACCCTGATTAAAGTTTCATGTCCCACTCCTGATCTCTCATGTTAAGGAATATCTATAAATGACATTTGATGTTGGTGTACCTATTCTTTGTCCTTCTTGGGACCTAACTAGAAGCTATGGGATCCTAAATGACCCATATCTTGATGAAACATTTGCAGGAAGGTATGGGAAGGCTAGAGATTATTCAACAGACACTTGTTGGGTGTTGGGCATCTACTATGTGCTAGGTATAGCAGTGAACAAAATGGGCAAAAGATACTGTTCCTGATGGAGCTTACACTATCATGGAGGAAGACAGAATAAACAAGTGGCCCATCACTAGAGGATCATGTCTATAATCCTAGTTACTCAGGAGGCTGACATCTGATGATCAAGGCTGGAAGTCAGCCTGGCCAGAAGCGTCTATGAGAGCCAGCAAAAAGCTAGAAGTAAAGGTATAACTCAAGTGGTAGAGTGCCAGTTTTGAGGCCTCATAGGCCATATAAGACTTCAGGTCAAGCCCCAGTATTGGGTGTGTGTGTGTGTGTGTGTGTGTGTGTGTACAAGCACTCACAAAGCCCCATGTGGTCTCATAATCTACCAACTTGCTTTTCTGGTGGGCTTTTCTCCCATATGAAGGACATTCTCAATCCATGAACAAATGATAACATAAGAAATCATGGGACATAGTAGGTTGTTTTGCCAACAAAGCATCACAAGAAGCTATATATAACCTTTCAAAATGTGATGAATTTATGCCTGAAAGGAATGATTATTTCTATTTTATTTGCCTTGATGGGAGTGTTTTCCAGTTGCTTAAGGCAAATCATTTAATGTAAACAGGGAAGCCCAGAACTTGTCAAAAAAAAAAAAACATGTTGGGACTACACCTTGGCTCTCAAGGAATAGACAGGAAAAAAAGAAGAGATGGTCGTAAATGTAGGGGTTTTTTCGTCTTCTTGTTTTTAAGTTGTGCTTTGAAAGAAGGTGCCTTTCATGTGCAGGTTTGCAGAAGAAGAAATCTGATTTTTGATGTGATAACACATTCTCTGACATGAACCGTACAGTTGAGAGTGTTTTTTTTAATGACACTTTCATCTTCAAAGCCCTTTGCCAACACAGATGGATTAATTATTCATATTTTTGGTTGCTTGTTAAAAAGGCAAGTCTGCGTGTTAAAAAGGCAAGTCTTCAAAGCAGGGTTCTCTCTTGGAACTGGGGCCCTCTGCTTTTCTAACCTCTAGAAAGAAAAGGGAGTCTATTCTTCTTAGAAAGACGAATATAATGAGGGGGAAAAATGCTGGGGACCAGAGGAAGATACTGTCCTAGGCTGTGTAGGATGAGAAGCCGGATTGGAAGCTGTGTTTACAGTAAACATTGTGAGACAGAACTACAAATGTTAATATTTTTTCCTCCCAGTCTTTGATGTGATTTCAAAAACTAGCACGAGGACATGAAATGCCTCATGTCAAACCTACCTTGGCACATAATCTATGGATCCTTATATCTGTTGTTAGTTGTTTTTTTCTGGTTTCTCCCAGAAAGTGTCTAACTGGTTTAAACAAAACAAAACAAAAAGTCAGGGAGAAGAAACTCTGAAGCTTCCCAGAGGTGGAGAGGGTGGAGAACTGGGGTGATGGGGGGGGGCGCATGGACTTGACGCGAGCTCTAACCACCAGGGAGCAGCAGTCTCCTTCCCCGGGCTGCGCGCTGCCCTCCACCTCCCCAAATGAAGAAGCAGCAAGTGCCAGTCTGCAAACGCGCCAAGAGCGCTCCGCAGGAGACCCGGGCGGGCGCGCGGGCGCCGGGAACCACGGAGAGCACCGTCGGGGTCTGATTTTCCAGGAGGAAAAGGCCTCCCGTTCAACTTGGGCTCCGCCGACAGATCTTCTGCAGGCTCCCGGGAGGAAAGAAGCTTTGGGAGCATCTGGAAGATTCCTCCTGGGATCGGAGGATCGAAGCCCCTGACAGCGTCGGGGAGGGCGGGGGACCACGCTGCGGCGTGGGCCCGGTGAGGAAGCTACTTGGTCCTCGTCTTCTTCTTTTGGACCCATCCTGGGACTTGAACTCAGGGGCTCGGGCGCTGCACCCGGTGCTGCCCAAGGTTGGCGCTCCACCACTTAAGCCACAACTCCGCGTCTGGCTTTTTTTTTTTTTTTGGTGGTTCAGCTCACGGATTTTTCTGCCCGAGCTGGCTTCCGAACTGCGATCCTCCCGGGAAGCTGGGATTACAGGCGGAGGCCACCGGTACTCTTTGCTATCTTTGGAAATAAGATCGGCGGGGAATCCGGGTTCCAAGCCCTGGATCAGGGCTAGGAGCATTATTATTATTATTATTATTTTATTGAATTTTGCCATCTCTGATCTGAGTCTTTACCAAGTGATCGCGCAGTGCCATGAACTTCAGAAGCCACGCCAAGTCTCCTTGAAGCCTGTCCGGGAACCGAGCACCCAGCACCTTCTCCAAAGACCCGCGGTGCCAGGCAGTCTGGATGCACCAGCACCTCCACGAACCCTCTTGGGTTCGTCTTCTCAAGGACCGATGGAGAAACGTAAGCCGACCGTGCCGTACCCGCTGCGCCCGGTGCCTCTGGCCCGAGTCCCTCCCGGGGAGGCGTTCGGGGTCCCCGAGCGCCAGGAACAAGCGCGCAGTTGGGAGCGGAGACGGCCGTGCCCGCCCCTGCCGCTGGAGGGCGCCGCGGAGCCCGCCTTCCTGCGCCTGCGCAACGAGCGCGAGCAACCTTTTTAAATCAACATTAAGAAAAAAAACAGTATTTTAAATTGTGCTAAATATATGGGCAATCATTTCACTAAAGAAGATATATGAGGGCTGGGATGTAGCTCAGTGGCAAAGCGCTTGCCTAGCAAGTACAACATCCTGGGTTCGATCCCCAGTACCAAAAAAGAAAAGACAAAAAAAAAAAAAAGATATATGAGACCAGGCACCAGTGGCTTACGCCTGTAATCCTAGCTACTCAGGAGGCTGAGATCTGAGGATCACAGTTCAAAGCCAGCCCAGGCAGGAAAGTCTGTGAGACACTTTATCTCCAATAAACCACTAGAAAACCAGAAGTGGCGCTGTGGCTCAAGCGGTAGAGCACTGGCCTTGAGCTGAAGAGCACAGGGACAGCACCCAATCCCAGTTCAAGCCCCGTGACCGTCAAAAAAAAAAAAATTATATGGCAGGGTGCTGATGGCTTACACCTGTAATCCTAACTACTCAGGAGGCTAAAATCTGAGGATTGTGGTAAGAAGCCAGCCCATGGCAGGAAAGCATGTAAGAAAGACTCTTCAGTTAACAGCAAAAAGTCAGAAGTGGAGGTATTGCTCAAGTGGTAGAGCATTATCTTTTAAGAGTTTGGGGCCCTGAGTCCAAGCCCTGTCACTGTTCAAAAAAAGATATAACCAATGGTAGGCAATAGAGATAACTGTAAGGAAGACATCAAATGGCAAAGACTGAGACAGAGAGCAAAATGTCTTTTACATAGCACCACCCAGCAGTAAAAACAAGGATGGGTCAACTTGGACCTAACATGAGATCAAAATATGAGCCCAAAATATCAATTGACCCTGATTAAAGTTTCATGTCCCACTCCTGATCTCTCATGTTAAGGAATATCTATAAATGACATTTGATGTTGGTGTACCTATTCTTTGTCCTTCTTGGGACCTAACTAGAAGCTATGGGATCCTAAATGACCCATATCTTGATGAAACATTTGCAGGAAGGTATGGGAAGGCTAGAGATTATTCAACAGACACTTGTTGGGTGTTGGGCATCTACTATGTGCTAGGTATAGCAGTGAACAAAATGGGCAAAAGATACTGTTCCTGATGGAGCTTACACTATCATGGAGGAAGACAGAATAAACAAGTGGCCCATCACTAGAGGATCATGTCTATAATCCTAGCTACTCAGGAGGCTGA